GGACTCTCTCCAGTAGCTCTTCATCTTTCTTGAAGTGGGGAGCCCAGAACTGGGCAGAGTACTCCAGATGAGGCCTCACTAGGGCAGTGTAGATGATGCTCGGGACTCTCGTAGCGGCATGCTGCTTTCTGCCCCTGGCTTGAAGATTGATCCAAAAACTGATCTGAACCTTGGGAACAACCAGGGAGAAAATACACCCGAAATGTTAAGTCTGGGAAGTCTCTGAGTACGTCTCTGCTCTCCTCACCTGAAGCAAGAGCTGGTTCTGGGCATAAACACCCAAAGCTGATTGCTGCAGCGTTGGGTGGTGCCTGTTCGCATCGCCTGTGCACAGCTTCAGCAGAAGGGAATAAACCTTGGTCATCGTAGGTGCAAAAGGGCCCTTGCAGGTATTTTTTTGATGAAGTGTTATTTCGTTGGAAAATGCTGACTTGGCAAAACTTCTGTTTCTGGCAGTAAAAGTTTCATTTACAAAATTTTTCCAATTCACAAACATGTGTAGGGAGAATGTTTTGGAATTGCCGAAATGGGATAAAGCGCCCACCCCCCCTGCCATTTTGTTTCCAAATTTACATTATGCTACAACTGTTTCTTTAATTTCAACTTCTAATGAAGTTTTGATTCGAAGTATTTCTTTGGGGGTGGGATTCATACATTTTCTTACATCTTCTATTTCTTATTCTGTTTAGAGAAATATCCTGATTTGGAACAGGGAAGAATCTAAAGCTCTTTTTTTTTAAAAAAAAAAAAAAAAGCAAAGCACCTTCTGTGCAGGGAAACATTATTTGTCTCCCAGCCCTACACATACTTAAACCCTGTATTTTAACCATTAAGACCTTTTCAAACCCCTTGGCCATGTGGCTGCGTAAACAAGTGTAAATATACAGCGGTCGTTATTCAGTAAGCACGTGTGTGTGTACAGGTGGGTAAATCATGTAGAACTTTGGGGATTTTCAGTGCTCCCTGTCTTTCTCTTGATACCCTCATACCCAAGGATTTCTTTGGCTTCTGCTGAACTTTAGGAAAAATCTAATCTGTCCCACGCCTGCTGTCAAGATCAAGTCTCTCTGCTGGGAGAGCGTATTCCCCGTGCCCACCTGTGCTGAGGCACAGACAGGAATTGCTGGGGTCAGCAGGCAGTGACAAATGCTCTTTTTCAGAGTGATGTAGAGCCAATCTCTCTGACTTCTTACGACTGTAGCGGTTGTCCTCCTTCTTTGTTGCCCGTGACTGCGTTACTCCCCTTATAGCATCCTGGATTAATAACTCCGTGTGTATGTATATACATACTTTGTGTGTGTATAAATACACATACATATGTTTTAATACAGATATTTATATGTATATATATGTATGTATGCTGTTTTAAATTATCATTTTTTATGTCTTCAGGTGGCCACAGAGATGTTTGTGTGTGTGTGCTGCCTTGGGGACGGGTCCTTTGCCCATTAAGGGCAGCAGCAAAGTCCCCTCTGACTCCTCCTGAGCTGCTGGAAAGGTCTGGCTGGTTTTGTTTCCCCTGCCTGGCAGTGCTTGCTCCTGTCATGGCAGGAAGGCTTGGATGATAGATGATTCACCAATTAAACAGAAATGGTAGCTTGTCCCCGAAATTCCCAAACTGCAAAAATACTTGGAAACAAATGACTGTGACCCGTCATTTCCCATATGTTTGTGTGCTGCTGGGGATGATACCATCATGACCTAATAGGTCTTTGGATATACAAAATAACAGTAATGTTAGTCAAAGAGGAAACCTGGGTCATTTATTTTTAATGGGTTTCTCTCTTCATGCCCTTCTAGCATAACTGTTCATGTTCTTAAGGGAATCTCTTGGTGTTTCCAACTATCTCTGTGCCCTTGCAGACCCGGGTGCTGGGTGTTCACTGCCGGCAGCACAGCAGTGACACACGCTGCAGATCGCGGAGAAGCACGGCAGGTTGCCCTTCTTTGTAGCAAATCATTCGTAGACCAAAACCTGTGCATTTGCAGGTTATTTTTTCTTCCTCCTCTTCTTTCTGAAATAAGCCCTCAAGTTAATTTGTTACGGTGTTTTAAACACACAAAGGCTGTTTCCAACTTTGATTCATTATAATAAGAATTTCCAACTGGTTTCACTCTTCCTTTTGAGCTCTCAAACTGGTTCTTACAAGTCAAAATTATTAGCAGTAAACACTGGCAAATTTCTCTGAAAAAAACGTGCCTCTTGTGCAACGTGCCCGCATCGAGGAGACGGCCGGGTGGGGGACAGCCCCTTAGCACACGATACACTGCTTTCTTTATGGTTGGCTTGCAAAACACTTGACTTCATTCCACAAGAAACAAGTGCCTTGTGGCTAGGCTTTTGGAAAAATCATCTTCAGCATGCTAGAAAGTCATGTTGTTCTTAGGAGGAGAAAAGAGGAGTTCAGTGGGCTTGACTTGATGCCTTGATGAAGATTTATCTAGCCCCCCTCGGCCAACAGGGCAGCCACAGATTAGTGTCACTCTGCTGCTGCGGACAGAGAGCATCCAGTGTTGCATATACAGACCCCCCCATCCAACTTTGATTCTTGTATTTGAGGTGAAAGCATTTCCAAAGAGCACTTGCCTGCACGTTGTGGGAGCAAACAGTAGCCGAGGAAAGGAAAAAGGCAACGAATTCCAAGGAGATTATAATTGGTACATGATTGAAATCCCATATTAAAATAATTTCCTGACCGCTTCTTATTTGAGACTTAGCTTCGACTTTTCTACAGAAGGGCTTTTGTGGGCAGCTGGGCATGAGTTAATAAATCAGGTTTATGATTCTCAGTTAATAAATTGGCTTAGAGCCATCGGCTTCTGTGTTCATAAGAAATTAAACCAAGGAAAGCGAACGAAGAGCCTGTGTGAATTTTAGCACTAAAGAAAATCGGCTTCTGGTCCTGGAGGGGGTTTGGAGGTTGTGTCCTCCCCTCCGCGCCGACCAGGCGCTTGGCTGTGGTTGTGTGCGGAGCTGAGCACGTGAAGCTGACGAACGCAGGTTAATGGGCTAATTTGTGGCACCACACGCTGCCTGTCGTTCCTTGCTTTCAGTCCTCCTTCTTAGGCTTTTCTTGGGTTTTGTTATTCAACTTTTCAACATTTTAATTTTTAAACAAATTTTTAATACCTTGAAAATGATTCAGCTTGAAATATGCTTCTTGTTTTATGCTATTGAATAATATAACATTAACAAAGATTTTTTTTTTTTGTCCTCCATTTTCAGTTTTCCCACATTTTTTCTTCTTTAGCTGTGATTAGTTTCTGGCTCTCAGGCAGGAGATCAAGCGTGAAGAAGCCCCAAATAGAGAGCTATAGGCTGCCTTGCAAACAGGAGTGAAATGTGGATTGCATTATAGACCAGGGGCTCGGCGTTCACCTCCGCTAGCACCAGCCTGGGCGAGCAGTGGGAAAGCTGTAGAAATCGGTGTGGCAGGTGGTGAAGACCCCCACATCAGAGGGCAATATTAGCAGGATTTTTTGTTTTGTTTTGTTTTGTTTTGTTTTTTTACTGCCATTCATCACAGCTTCAGACCGTGACACCAGTACCCAAAGCCTATTGGAGATGTGGCGGGTTTTTGCCCTGGCTCTAAGGCACAGTGCGTCAGCCCACCAGCTGCCTCCGAGCACAGCAAAGTCCTCGAGCCGGGGCCACGCAGAGGTGGCACAGGAACATGGGGTTGTGTGATGTGTTTTGAGGTCAGGGAGTGATGGGGGACCAAATGGTGGCGATGTCTGGGGTCTGTGGCAGCTCTAGCATCCTTGTCAGGTGCCCCTAGCACTGCACCACTCCTTTGGCTTTTGCAATTACATCTCCAGCTCCTCCTTGCATAACGTGCAGAAAAATAAGCTTCATGGTGAAAACGCACTTTTTGCTCATAAAATTCCAGCTGCGCCTGCTTTTTGCTGGCGACTCTCTGCAGTGGCACGTGATAATAGGAAAGGGGAAATGACCTCAAGTTGCACCAGGGAAGGTTTAGATTGGATTTTAGGAAAAATTTCTTAGCTGAAAGAGTTGTAAAGGACTAGGACAGGCTGCCCAGGGAAGCGGTTGAGGCACCAGCCCTGGAGGTGTTCAGAAGACGTGTAGATGCAGTGCTGAAGAACATGGTTTAGTGATGGAATTGACAGTGTCAGGTTAATGGTTGGGCTCGATGATCTTGATGGTCTCCTCCAACTGAAGCGATTCTATGATTCTACGCCCCAGACCCTGAATGCAAGCAATGCCCTGTGATGTGCCCGAGGTCTCTCCCGGGGGAGAGGGAACAGAGTCACACTGGGGAAAAGGTGGGAGGAGAGTGATTTGACACCCCTGGAAGTGCTGGCATGCCAGCAGCATGGGTGAGACGGTCCCGTAACGGGAGGATGCGGATGGCGTGAAGCATGTCTGGAAAGCCATCCCATTGGAAATGAACTGGAAAGTACCAAATCATTTCGATTTCTGTTCGTGCTGTGTGCTGTTTTATCAGATCATACTTTTGCTTTGTGATTAAGTGACTTTTTCTCTTTGTTTTTCTTTTCTTTTCCAGGACCTGCAGTAAGTATCGTGGATTTTACTGTTGGATCAACAAAGTTAAGGCTTCCCCTTCCCCCCTCTCCTGCCTTTCAGTGTCGTTGCAAAAGCACAACATTTTTTGGTAGAGGTGTGTCGGGAAGTGAAATTGGTACCAGATGCTGCTGTATTTTTTTTTCATGATTGTAGACAAATAGAGAGGCGGAAAAGAAGTTTTTAAATGTTTAACTTGCTGCCCTGAGGGACTTCCAATAATTTTAAACCTAGAAATTATTCAGTAAAAAAGAGTTTTTTCTTTAAAGAGTTCTTTAGTCCGCTTCCATTTAGCAGAAAGAGTGCTGTACTAATATTTTAACATGTTAGTGGGTTTATTGGTTCTAAACCTCTGTCTCGCTTTTCTTATCTGTTGTGTTTCCATCATTTAATACGGGTTTGGTAGCCTCCCAGGGGGGTTAGAGGGAAAGCCATAGCTTGCTTCCTTCTCTCTTTGAAGCCTTGGGGAGAATAATGAGCATTCCTACCAATGCAACCAGAAAATTTATGGGGAATTTGTTGTTCTAAGGGGGCTGAAGTTGAAAATGTGTCAACTCCTTGGAAGAAAGTTGAGATGTGCCTTTGGCTGTGCCACCACCATGTCCAAATCTGATGTTCTCCTGTTGGTTTTGGAGTGAGGAAACAGCATTTCGTTTGTGCCCTCCAAGTTGCTGAGGGGTTGTTAAAAAAGAAATTATGAGCATTAGGTGCTTCTGGTTTTCTACCTTTCTTCCTCCAAAGGAGGAGGAGGAGGAGAGGCCCAGGCTGTTTGCAGCCATGTGTTCCCTGCTCCATCATTGCACTAACAGAGACATTTCTTCATGTCCTTCTCTTCCTATAGAGCCTCACTGAGTTGAAAAGGGATTGTTTCGGGAAAAATAACTTTGCTAATTGTTCCTAGGCTAGTTAATATCCAGTTCTGTAAATTTGTTTAAAAGCCAAAAGGTGACAAGGACATGCACATGAAGTGTGGGGGCTTTCACAGCGCCAGGGCTTTGGTTCTCCTGGGATCAGCAGCGCTGCCTGTGGGTTCAGTTAATGGCTTTCAGCCCTTGGAATTTTTGTTTCTATTTCAAGTTCATTTTTTTAATGTAAAGACTTAAGAGGAGCTTAAGCAAAATTATTATTTGGCTAAGTTTTGAGTGAGTAAATCAGGAAAATTTAAGACTTAACAGCTTTGCCTGAACCGTTCTTCGAGGGGATCTGAATGGTTTTGCTCTAAAAGTTGTGCTCAGCCCTAGCAATAAATCCAAGACTCTGGCCCGAGAAATGCAAACAAATGAACTTTCCTGGTTAGTTTGTGTTCAGAAATGCAGTTTGTCAATAAATTCATTTTCCTGTAAATATTCTGTGATTAAAAACTGCAGCACAGCATCTCCAACCCACACAATAAAAGTGACTCCGTGGGTTTTTGGAGTATTGGTGACGAGGGCATTGACTGCGGGCCCACCATGGAGAGGCGAATGGCCCGCCCGGCCCAGAGCTCGATGCCGTTCGCCGGCTTCACCAAAGCCGTCATCAGACGAGATCCCCAGGTCACGGAGAGCATCCACTGAGGCTGAGCGCCGGCAGCTCGGGAACCCTTTTGGGGGCTAGAGCTGGTCCCGCAGGGCTTCTGCCTGGTGATTATTTTAATTGTTTTTTTCCCCTCTCTGCAATTCATACAATTTGGCTTAAGTATTAAAAAAAGACCAAAATTCCTCGCTCAGTGGCAGGTTACAAATGAAGAGGATACTGCCTGTTTAAAACTCCATATATACATATGTATATATACATATGTGTGTATATATATACACACATCTTTTAAGGGATGTTTTCCTCTTGAGTACTTTGGCTTATTTAAAGTGAATTTATTTAACTGTTTCGGCTCTGCTCCTGCTCAGAGGCTGTTCTCAGCCCACACGCAGCCGACCGCCTTACTCTTCCTCACGTGTGCTCTCTGTTCACTTTCGTTGTATGTGAGTCGGCACAGGCAACATATGGTGCACTATTAATTTTTCTTTGTCTCTGGTTGGTTTCATTTCCTGGTTCCCACAGCACTATTGAATTGCAAACGGAGCACAGGGGAGATTTAACACAAACAAGACTTGTGTGTTGTTTTTTTTTTTTGCTCTCCCCTTGCCCTTCTTTAAAAGACAACTCCTGGTTTAGTTCGTTTTGTTAAAAAAAAAAAAAAAATCCTACATTTTTAGCATGAGCAATATTTGCCAGAGACTTGTTTAAACATAATATATAATAAAAGTCCTAGAACCCACAGAACCACAATATTATTTTATTTCAGCAGTACTGTATTTAACTCTATTAGTTTCTTCTGTTTCTTGATTTTGGCCATAAGGAATCGATTACATCTTCCATGTACAGCATCGCGCTCTGCTAAAACTGTATCCTCAATTCTGTTGTTCCCTAGTAGCAGTTGTTCTGGTATTTTATGTTTTGGCTGTCATAAGCTAGTTGCGTATATGAAATTATTAGAATTTGTGGTACAGGATTCGTGGCTGTCGGATGATTGATCGTCCTGTCTGTGAGTAAGGGGTATTCCGCTCAGATGTGCTATAAAACCTCTGTTTCGGAGGGTATTAAAATCACATGCTGGGTAGGAAATTTCTACAATTGAAGGACAGACTTACCACAGCCTGTAATTAAACATTTACAGTCCCAGATATTAACAAACACTTTACGTATTAGCATGCTGGCTGGGGAACTCACCAGCGAGCGCGGGCTGGGAGTTACAAGTGTTTCCTATTCACCCGTGTGTGCTCCAGTGCCATACGTCTCCATAAAAATCTCGCTGTACGCTTTATCCCGAGACTGTAATTTGTGAAATAGGTGGTTGTCGAAGGCAGTGTTGTTTCTGGATGAATCAATAGTGCTGCAGGAGGCATGAAAAGCTGTGGGGGCACTTAGCGAGAAGGGAGAACCCCTGTACGTGCTGCCAGAGCTATTTCATGCCCTAAGAAATGTATGAATCTGCCTGTCTATCCGCAGCATACTGACAGAACCTCTGTTTATGGTAGCAGATGACATTGCCGTACCAGACACACGCTTTACTGCCTACTTGTGTACCAGCTAATACTTAACAGCTCCTTCCTGGGGCTCTGCCTTACGTCTGGCTTGCAGCAGGCTCCTCTGCTGTAGCTCACGGCGCGTTTAACGGCAGCCCGAGCTGTAAACGCCTTCGGGAAGCCCCAGAGGAGAGGAGAAAAGGTGAAATAGCCTGAACGGTTTGTGTTTTTATTCCGCTGATCTTGCAGGTGTTGGTATGCAACTTAAGGAAGGTCTTTCCCGCAGCATCAGCTTTTCTTTCTGCTTCATTGCAAACTAAAGCAAAGTTTCGAGGGTGAGCTGGGAGAGCTGCGTCCTGTGAGGAAATTAATGGATCTGAGATGGGGAAACCTTTGCTGAATCAGGAGCTGGAATAGAAATTTGAAGCTCAGCAGCTGCTGCTGGGCAGACAGGCTGTCCCGGCCGCTGGCTCGGCCACACCGCAGCCTCCCCGGCCTCTCCCCAGCACCCGGGCGGTCCCGTACCTCTTGGTACCCACGTCCCGGAGCAGGCTTACGGCCAGGATCTAGCGTGCATCGTGCACATCCGTGGCTTCGGGGGCAGCAGGGGCTGACCACAGGCAGCCGGGATGGGTGTGAGTTGGCAAAAGCCTCGGTAAGTAGCTAAAGGGAAGCACGAGATGAAAATCTGGGGAAAATATGCGTTAGGTGTGACCTTCCTGGTAGGAAAATTGCCCCAAGAAGTTTCTTTGGAGAGAGTTTAGCCCCAGGGCTGGCTGGAGAGCTGATGGCCCCTTCTCCTGCCTGCTGCGATGTGTTGTCCTCCTGCTGTGGGTGCATTGACTGACCTCTTATCTCACTTGTTCCCCCACCACAGGGGCAGTCAGGACGCGATGGTTACCCGGTAACTCTGCTATTCCTTTTATTTTTATTCTTTTCTAATCTGCACTCCGTGGTCCTCTCCATCTTCTCCATGACACTTGATTTGCTTTGCCTGTCTTTGTCTCTCTTTTTTCTTTTTTTTTCCCTTCTTCCCTCCCTCTTCATCAGTGACAGCTTTTGAGGGATTCAGCCCTAAAGCTCAGGAGCCTGTGCAATATTCTCCTTTAATGTATACAGGGGTGAAATACTTGAGCCCTCTCATGATATTATTCATGCTCTTGCCTAAGAGTTCATTGAACTGCAAAGTTGGTGAAGGCTTTGGGGTTTGTCCCAAATGTAGCCGTAGGTGGCCAAATTTGGGGACATTGGTGAAAGAGCTTCAGGTGTTGAGATAGGTCCTCATTTGTCCATCTCCTCCAGAAATTTTTCCCTGGGAGCAGAGGTGTCCTGCCAAGCTTCTTGGCATGGAGAGATTTGGTAGAGGAGGAAGGGTAATTTGGGATGCGCTGCCCTTCCCATGCCCGTGGGCACCACTCTAATATCTCTGTGTCAGAGGGAGGTGTCTGCTGGGGAGAAATAAAGCTGATAATCTGGGGCTGTGAAAGGCTCTGAGACTCTTTCTGGAGGAGGAGGGAGACCTTGTTCTGGCTGGATCCCAACCAGCAGCCTTCCGGCTGGCTCCCCTGGTCCCTATCAATGCACTTGGATGGCCGCGGGGCTCCGGCTCCGAGGGGCTCGATGTCTCATCAGGGAGCAGCTCTCGTGCATGCAATCGGTGTAACGGGTTGGTAAAATTCACTGTGTAGATCCTCCGCAGTCACAGCACACTTCCAGCTCTGCTCCTGCTTTTTGAATGGGTGCAGCGAGTCCTGCACCGACTGATGCTCTGGAAAGGGCTTCTGGACTGTTTGTCATGCTGTTCCATTTATAAGGTGAAGAAAAGTAGTTAGCCTTATCCTTCCTGTGATGGATGCCCTTTTTCCTTTTTTTCTTATTTTTTTTTTTCCCCCAAAGAGGCGTGTTAGGAAAGCTCACTCCTTGTCTCTGCCACCCCATGCCCTGGCCCCGTTCCTCCTGAATGCCCATAAACCACGAAAACATCTATCGAATTTCCTGTGTGTGATGGAGCAGGAGCTCAAGGAAGGAGGATTAGAAGGGAAATACAGAGCCGTTTGCAGTTTTCATTTCCCCTGGACCCCTGTGAGCCTCTCTGGGGAAGACAGCAGCGTTTCCTCAACTGCACCAGCCCCGGACGGGGAGAGATGCGAGATGGGGTTAATTTTGCAGAACAAGCCTGTGCTGCCGTTACATCCATAACACGAAAGTACTCGGGGCTCCACCAGTTGATGTGAAGAAATGAGATTTCTCATGAGGGAGCAGGGGGGATGCCTGGGAGCAAGCAGGGCTGCCGATTTCCCGGGGAAGGACGGGCGCAGCGCGGGGGTTTGTCTCCCTCAGGCGGTACCTGCCCGAAGCCGGAGCTGCACGAGGCGTTCGTTGGAAATGAAGAGTTTAATGTATTAGAAATTAAGATGGGAGACTTTGCTCTGATTGGGCTGTTTCAGGGCAGTTTTAGGGTGGCTTTCCACTCTTGCGGGATGTGGCTAACCACTTCTGGATTAGCAGTGCCCGCAGCAGGTTTGTCCCCTTCTTCTCTGTGTCAGTCGTATTCTGGCAGAGCGTGTGCGCGTGGTTCAGCTGCAGAGCTCTGAACACCAGAAGCGCTGGGAGGAAATAGTGACTTTTCCCTGGGACAGAGCATCAGCATCACCCCAGCCTGTCCCAGTGCGCAGCCCCGGCACCGTGCCCGTCCCAGCTCCTGGCGAGGGGTTTTGGTGCTGCTTCAGCTCTCCTGGATGGTCCCAGGAACGGGCAGTGATCTCCAGCTCAGAGGGGAAAATGGCATTAATGCTACCGAAAGGTTTTTCTTCCTCTCTCCTTCCCTCCAGGACCGGCAGTCCAGGCAAGATGGTCTTACTCCTGACTTTGCAAAGTTGCGTGAGTCAAACCCAGCAAACACTGAATTACTGTATCCAAATGGCTGTGGCTGCGCTAATTAGCTTTATCTAATAAGAGGGTGATGATAATTGCATTTCCAAAGCAATATGTATACCTGAAGGAAGAGGAAATTAAACATAAAGCAGGCTTAAGAGTCTTATTCAGCAGAAGCATATGGACAAGCTTTATTACATCCAGTTGCGTAGTCAAATTGATTTAATTATTTAGTTCCCTTCAGGGTGATCAAATAAACTCCAAGCTGTTTTGGGAGGTAGCTGTGGCGCGAATGCAGAAGTAGCCAGTGGGTATTAAACGGTGTTTGGTGTCAGAGATAGGTATGGTAACACGTGCATCGCTTGGCTAGCGGTGCTTTGAGTGTATTTGTGAGCAGCTGGTGTGTAGCCGAGCTGCGAGCAATGGAAGCTTTAAGGGGATGAAGTGAACCAGAGGTCCGGAAACGGGGCCCAAAGAGAAAACAGCTTTTATAAGATGCTTTCAATATTTTGATAGTGAACATCTTAAGGGGAGGGGTTTGTACCCTACAATAAAACTTTACAGCAGAAACAGTTTCTTCTTTATGAAGTTCTATAGGTTCATTATTATTTTTTAAACCACAGAGAGGATTTAGTTTCTGTTTTTAGGCCTGCGGCATATCCTACTAACAGTACTATAACAGCTGTGAAGAGTGTTGGGTATTGTTGCTTTTCCAGTCGTGTTTGACTTGGTTTTGACATCCTGTTGAACAGGGATCACAGCATATACTTAAGCCTGAGTTTCAGTGTAGGTTCCTATGGGCTAAGGGCTGCACTTCTGGGTCTGTCTTCTCTTCTGTTCCACAGTAACTTTTGAACTTGGCCCATTTCAATTTGACAGAAGGACAAAGACTGTGCAGATGATTAGTTTAAAGTGAACTTTAATAAAATTTATTAGTTTATAAGGGGCAGGTTAAGGGAAAAAGAGCCTTTTTGATATCCATGGTGAGGGACGAGCTCACGCTGCCGTAGGCATGCTGCTGCCGTATCAGCTGCTTCAGAGGTTACCTGGAGATTGTCCTCCCTGAGATTTTCTGTTTCTTTTTTAATTGCAGTGCTGGGGAGGCTTTTAAAACATTTTTGGCTCCCAGGCCAATAATCTAATCCGAGGGGTTTTCTAACAGATGAGGGAAGCTGATGTTGGAAGGGTGAAACTTGCACTGCCAGATTTGTAAATGCATTTAACAAATAATAAAATTGCAACACAAAAACTCTCCTCTGCAGGTAACCCAGTTACACCCAGTGGAAACTGCGTCCAGCCTGGGCTGGGCAGAGGTGGCTCCCATGGGCTTGCCCGGACCCCAGTGGCTGGTGAACAGGGCAGAAGCCCATGCCTCACTGTGCTTCTTGCTTTAGCTGCCGAGAGAACTGGCTCTTAACGAGCAGAAGGGTCTCCGAGAGCCAGTTTAAGAGCCGTTATATTGGATATCATTCGGGTTCTGGAGGGGCTTGAATGCAAGTCGTGTGTCTGCATGCTTTCTGGAGAGCTGAGTTTAGACAAAGGCAGAAGATCTATTTAGTGTCCAAAATATATATGATTTTTTCATTTTTTTCTTATATTGGCTATGTAATTTGCACATAGTAATGGTGACAATGATCATAGTAAGCTGCTGAATTTTGGGGTGCAAATCCGCTTAGTCTGAGAGCCTGCCTTGCACCTTCTCAGCTTGCAAGAAAGCAAATGAAGGTGAAGGCACCAGGGAGCGGGGAGGCTTTTACTCTTTTTTGATGCCAAAACATTCATCTTGGAAGTCCTTTTTAGAGAAAATTACTTAAAACAACTTCTGGGGAGGAGCAGAGCACTTTACCCCAAAGGTGGAGGAGAACCAGCAGGTCGCTTGTCTCAGCTGACATCTGCGTGGTCCTTCTTGCAGGCCACCATGATGTTCTTCTGGCTCTTGGTGCTGGTGGGCTGGAGTAACACCCATGTGTGTAGTGGATGGTGTCCTGGGGTGAATCGGCAGCTTTGGTGATGGAAAACTACAGGATAAATGATCCCTTTATACAGAAACCCCAGAATAATTGGTAATTACAGATTGGTTACAGGACTCCATTGATTCATTAGAGATACAGCGGTCTTCAAGGAAAAAACAGTGATAAAAATGGTGCAAATTCAGTAGTTCAGGAGAGAAAATGAGTGTGCTAGACAAGGTCCTGAGCAACCTGATCTACCCTTGGTTAGGCCTGCCCGGTGGTATCGCTGTCTGTAACCCCCTGCTCAGGGACCTGCCCAGGGGCTGTGGGGATGGTGGTGGAACCCCAGTTGTCCTCACTCTGGGCTTTGAGCAGATCTGAGTGCATGCTGAGGTGTCCCTGCTGCTGTGGAGGACGTTGCTGCAGGAGGGCCACCAGCTGCTGCTGGCTTAACTGCCTTGCTTCGCTCTGGTGCTTCCCATCGCCAGCTTGTCTGAAGAGACGGCAGCAGCCTTGAGATCAGATTGACAAGGAAAATTTGGACAAAACCTTTAGCCTTTGCCAAAAGGCTACCCGGCCCATCCCCAAACCGAAGTACAGCCCCAAAGTTTAAGCTTGAATTTGCATGAGGGTGTACTGGAGCCAGAGGAGAAGCAGATGTGCGGCCGCCGCGACCATGGAAATGTGTTTCTTGTTGGGCAGAACCAGGCGCTGGGACCAGGATCCGCTGGGACTCATCCCGAGCCATGCTTTCTGAGGCAAGGACCATCCGCGCCGTGGAGTGGTTCCCCTCGAGTTGATGTGCTGTCAGTGCGTCAGCATGTCGGGGGCACTTGCCCTCGGAAAGCTGGGAGAGGAGCAGCAGGGTTGGCTGGGCAGAGGGGGGGAGCAGCCGGGCTCGCGGCTGCTTACGTTAGCAGGGCAGGAAGCTGCATCTGGGCGGGAGGAGAACAGAGAAAATGAGGAGCAGATGGAAGAGCTGAACTGTGAGGAGGCTTTGCAGCTGACCTTTCAGTGCAGGCGGGTCTTCCTGTTACGTAGCTGTTTCATGGAGTCAAATAATGTATGGAAGGGAGGA